CATATCCTACGAAGATCTTTTATCGGTCAGACCGCATAACAACATACGTTGTTCCCTTTGTCATCGGTATGTTACTTGCCCGAGATTCGATCGTCGGTATCTCAATACCTAGTTCAATCTTGTTACCGGCAAGTCTCTTCACTCATTTCGTAATACATCATCCCGCAACTAACTCATTAGTTTCAATGCTTGCAAGGCTTAACTGATGTGCATTACCGAGAGGGCCCAGAGATACCTCTCCGACAATCAGAGTGACAAATCCTAATCTCGAAATACGCCAACCCAACAAGTACCTTCGGAGACACCTGTAGAGCACCTTTATAATCACCCAGTTACGTTGTGACGTTTGGTAGCACACAGAGTGTTCCTCTGGTAAACGGGAGTTGCATAATCTCATAGTCATAGGAACATGTATAAGTCATGAAGAAAGCAATAGCAACAAACTAAACGATCAAGTGCTATGCTAACGGAATGGGTCAAGTCAATCACATCATTCTCCTAATGATGTGATTCCGTTAATCAAATAACAACTCTTTGTCCATGGTTAGGAAACATAACCATCTTTGATTAACGAGCTAGTCAAGTAGAGGCATACTAGTGACACTCTGTTTGTCTATGTATTCACACATGTATTATGTTTCCGGTTAATACAATTCTAGCATGAATAATAAACATTTATCATGATATAAAGGAAATAAATAGTAACTTTATTATTGCCTCTAGGGCATATTTCCTTCAAACTGTCACATGGCAAGGTTTGGCACTCCCCTTGGCTCAATGACGGGAAGCCCAAAAACATTGCGACTCTTGTGTTTCCAATGTCCTCAAGGAGGAATTCGTTGGTGATATGTCTCGAATGTATCTATAATTTTTTATTGTTCCATGCTATTATAGTATCAATCTTGGGTGTTCTATATGCAATTATATGCTATTTTATATCATTTCCTGAGACTAACCTATCAACCCAATGCCTAGTGCTAGTTGTTGTTTTCTGCTTGTTTTTTGGTTTTCCAGGGATCGGTACCAAATTGAGTCCAAATGCTACAAAACTTTTTGACGATTTTTTTTGGATAACAGAGACCCTGGAAGCTTCGGGAGGAGACCGGACGAAAAGTGAGGAGATAGCAAGGCAACAGGGAGCGCCCAGGGGGGTAGGCGTGCCCTGACCCTTGTGAGCCCCATGTGGCTCCGTGTGGCCTAATTCCACCTATATAAATTCTCTAAAATCATGAAACCATTAAAGAGCCACCCGAAATACTTTTTCCGGTGCCGCAAGTGTCTGTTCTTCCATGATCCCATCTGGAGGCCTTTTTCGGTACTCTGCCAGAGGGGGAATCGATCACGGAGGGCTTCTACATCATCCTTGCTGCCTTTCGATGATGCGTGAGTAGTTCACCACAAATCTACGGGCCCATTGCTAGTAGCTAGATGGCTTCTTATCTCTTTTTAATCTTCAATACAATGTCCTCCTCGATCTTCTTGGAGTTCTATCCGATGCAATCTTGTTTTGCGGTCTGTTTGTTGGGATCCGATGTTGTGGATTTATGATCAGATTATTCATGAATATTAATTGAGTCTTCTCTGAACTTTATTATGCATGATTGTTGTAGCTTTGTATTTCTCTCCAATCTATCCATTTGGTTTGGCTAACTAAATTGATTTATCTTGCAATGGAAGAGATGCTTTGTGATGGGTTCACAAGAGACATATTTTTATTGTTGCCATTAAGGATCAAACGATCGGGTTTATTCATATTGATTGGGTTTACTTTGTCTACATCATGTCATTTTGCTTAAGGCGTTACTCTGTTTTATACTTAATACTATATATGCATGCTGGATAGCGGTCGATGAGTGGAGTAATAGTAGTAGATGCACGCAGGAGTCGGTCTACTTGTCTCGAACGTGATGCCTATATACATGATCGTTGCCTTGAATATCGTCATAACTATGCGCTTTTCTATCAATTGCCCAACAGTAATTTGTTCACCCACCGTTGTTATGTGCTTGAGAGAGAAGGGAAGCCTCTAGTGAAAAATATGGCCACTGGGTCTACTTTTATCACATATAAAAAACACAAAAATACCTTGCTGCAATTTTATTTATTTTATTTTGTTTTGCAATTTATCTTATTACCTACCACTATGAGATTTAATCCTTGCAAGTAACCGCCGAGGGGATGGACAACCCCCTTGTTTGCGCTGGGTGCAAGTATTTGTTTTTGTGTGTGTAGGTGCTGCTAACGAGGTTCTGTATGGTTCTCCTACTGGATTGATAACCTTGGTTCTTAACTGAGGGAAATACTTATCTCTACTGTACTACTTCATCCTCTCCTCTCCGAGGAAATCCCAACGCAGCTCACAAATAGAAGTCGTCGAGGGATGACCTATTGGAAAATGCTTGGCCAAGGAAATTGACATGTCCAAAGGGCTTACGGTTCATAAGATCCATCAATTCTGCACTTTGTGAGCTATGCTTGATCTTGTCCACCTCTAACATGACACTCTGGATATCATTGTGTGGAACCTTACGTGTAATGGTATTTACTTTGATGCTTATGATTATCTCACACAATTTGAGGTAGCCAACACTACACCCACGAAGCCCACTGTCTAGGATAACCGGGCGCTACCCAAATGCAAGTTCTTTGCTTGGCCTGTTAACAAGAATATGATCTGAACCGCTGATCACTTAGAGAGGAGGGGCTGGTAAAACCGTTGCCTATGTCAGTTGTGCAGACAGGAGCCCGAGTCTGCAACACATCTCCTATTCAAGTGCAGATACTCCATCCATGTTCGGGTGGCCGTGAAGACGTGGCTTGGTGTCACGAGTTGTGCATTCGCCGGTGGGGTGGGTTGCCTTCGGTACACGCTTGGTGGAATGCCACAATGCTCGGCCATGGTTACAAGAGGAAAGCTATCGCCACCCCCCTCATGCTTGTGACATGGGCACTGTGGAACGAGACAGATGTCCGGGGTTCTTCGCAACAAATCTACCTTGTCGTCGATCGTCGTCGTGGATGTTAGGGTTGAGGCCAAGCTTTGGGTGACCGCCGGTGCTACGCACATGGGTTCCATTATGTTGCGAGAGTAGGGTTGTGTATTCATTTTGTTGAGGAATAGTGACCTCGCCTAAAAACCTTTGTTACCACATACACTACTTCTTTATTAACGAGATGAGACAAATCTTTTGCCTTCGTTTTTTATAAGAAAAAGCTTTTTAGCAGATGGATGACGGGGGATTGAATTTTGAGGATCCACAAGAGGTCTTGTTAACTTTCCTTTTTCTTGGTTCTCCTTGTGTGTGATTTCATCATTCTTTACAAACCATGACCATCACACTCGGTAGCAGGGAGCGGCACTCTTCTTTGTCATGGAAGATTTGATCATGACAATTCCCCTCAACTTCGATTGTACCGTGTTAAAAAAACAAGAAAAAACCTCATTTGTGGCTCCATTTTCATTCCCCCGTTCAAATAAGCACAGGGCAGACCGAAAAGTGGCTGCAGAGGCCGAGCTCCACTGCTCTTGATATTTGAATTTTTTAAAAAACACACTTTCGATGCTCAAAAAAATCTGAAAACAAATATGTGAATACGTACACATATTCCTAAGGACTGGTAGAAATCTAGAGAAGAAATACTTTGTATTTTGGGAAATACAAAAAAGAGAAATTTCTGACAAAAATGGCATCTTTTTTCTCCTATATACTGTCAGAAATTTGTTTTTTTTTCTATAGCCCAAAACAAAACGAGATCTGTACCGAAACTTGCAACGGGTATTCGGAATGTGTATATGCATCCCGGGAAATAATTTCACATTTTTCTGAAACTTCAAAAATACGAATTTGAAAAAGTCAAATATAGAGAGCACTGATGCTCGGGCGCTGCAACGCTGCTCTCCAGGGCAGACCTTGAAATCTCCATGCTTGCCTCTCTTAGCAGTACGAGCGCCATCAATTGGACAGGACTAGTCGATCGCAGTTTCGTGAGGAAAACAGTCACGAATAACAATCACCACGAGTCTAGCAGGAGGTACGTACAAGCCTAGGACTTGACCAGTCCAACTGTCCAAGCCACTGCTGCAGCTGCAGCCTGCACCGCCAGTCCAGCACGGGACGCTCAAATATTTTTGAATGCGAAGCCGCGGCCTTTGCCCACATCTTTCCACGGTCTGGCCTCTGGCGCCACCTGGCCGATGCATGCTTCGCGGTGCCGCTGCATCCAATGCAGCGATGCCCCATCCAATGGCCAGTCATCCGCCCCCCAAAATAGTAGGCCTTGATTGAACCTTTTCCATTAACAAACGAGTCTCATTTGAATCTAGCCCTTTTCCGTCCGTGGCACTCCACTTTTTTGAGATTAAATCGATGTTCAAGTCGAGTCTGAATTTATCTGACCGCCATATTTATGCCCATTCTATAAAAGTCCTGCGGCCCCAGCAATCCGAACCGAAGCCGAAGAGAGAGGAAGTGGCAGTCCGAGTGGAGCTGGAATCACGCCTGTACAAATTCGTAAACCAGCCCCGAATTTAGCCCCGAATTCGTAAATCAATCGACCCAGTTCCGCTCATCAGACGTGGGAAAGGGAAAGGCGGGGCGGACCCCGCGGTCCATAATAACCCACCCTGGCCGCGCGTGGCGACCGCCGTCCGATTCACCAGCCAACAAACACCAGCGCCAGCGCCCGTCCCGAGGCGAGGCGAGGCGCGGTTGCTGTGCTCCTTCATCTCGGATCCATCCAGTCCCCCACCCTCACCTCCCCACCCCACCCCTCCCGCCCGCCGCTCCGCCATTACAGGGGAAGCCTCGCGCCGCGCCAAATCCACCGCGAAACCCCGAGGCCAGCGCGCGCGACCTACCAACCCCCTCCACCGCCGCCGCCGCCGCCGGCCCCTCAATCAGGTACGCCCCGTCTCCTCCACCCACCCAATCTCTCTCTCCCCCTCTCTCGCACCTTCCGTTCGATCCGTGCTGAGACCTGGCGCGATTTGTTTCCTCCGAATGCAGGGTCCCGCCGAGGAGACGCGCGTGGCGACGGGAGGGCGGCCGCGGCGCGAGATGGAGACCGGGAAGGCGGCGGTGCCGCCCAGGGCGACCAGCGGGCGGAGGTACAAGGCGCTCACGCCGTGGCGCTTCCAGCGCGGCTTCGTCAGGTACCAGGCCAAGACCCCCGCCGCCGCCGCCGCCGCGCCCAGAGGCCGCGCCGGGGCGCCGGCGGGCGGTTCTGGCACCAAGCGTCCCAGATCGGCGTCGGTGGTGGGGAGCGGCGGCCGTAGCGCGGGAGATCCGATGGACGGCCAGTCGAAGAAGAGAAGCACGCGCAGTGCGACCATGAAGAACCCCGGTGCTGAAATGGATTGCCTGTTGAGAAGAGCCACACGCAGTGCGACTGCCAAGAGCTCCGATGGGGTTAAAATGGAGAACGGCGCCTGCAGCGGTGCCGGAAAGGATTTCCCATTGAAGAGACACACACGCAGTACGGCTGCGAACAGCTCCCATGCTATTAAAATGGAGAACGACTCTCCTAGCAGTGCTGGAAAGGATTTCCAAATAAAGAGAGGCACACACAGAGTGACCACGAGGAGCTCCAATGGGGAGAAAATGGATAACAATGCTCGCACCGGTGCTGAAATGGATTGTGGTTTGGGCAAGTCCAGCTGCAATATTATGGGTGATGGGTTGGCCAACGCTGCTGGAGGAGATTGCAGAGTGACCACGAGGAGCACCAATGGGGAGAAAATGGATAACAATGCTCGCACCGGTGCCGAAATGGATTGTGGTTTGGGCAAGTCCAGCTGCAATATTATGGGTGATGGGTTGGCCAACGCTGCTGGAGGAGATTGCTGTTTTGAGGGGCCAGACTACAGCGGTGTCCTGAGAGATGAACATGTCCAGAATTTTGGGACTGGCGGCAGCGTTGGTGCTGGTGATGGGGCAGCTTGCATCCCAGAGGGGATTCAGAGTAATGTAGGAGCTGAGAACTGTGAGTCTGAGGGTTCGGAGAAGTCCCGTGTGACCGGGAATGTGTTAAAGAGCAACGTTTCTTCTGCTGCAGATCATGTGCTGGAGCAGCCGGAGGGAAAAGGTGCTAACACGGGAAATGGGGCTTCCAAGGAGAGTGATGTAGCAGCCAAAGGGTGCAGCTCTGCAGTTCCTGGAAGCAATGCTAATGGCCCAAATTGCCGCAGAGGGCGGAAAGAAATAGTGCCATGGAGGTTCCAGATCGGGTACAAGCGGTCATTCTCGAAAGCTTTCTGCTCCAATGGTGGATCACTTGAAACTCCGGAATACAGGGCTCAGGGCAGCTCAACACAGTGCACTCCAGGAACTAGAAGTACTGTGAGGTGCTATGCAAGCCCCCTTTCAAATGTTCGAGTTTCGGCCGTGCGTGATTTCTCCTCAGGGAAAGGCGAGAAGGAAACCCGAACAGCATATAAAAAGGTGAAAACTGAGAAGGATGATGATAATCAGGGAATGCCAAAAAATGGAGTTGCCCTTGCTAGGGAGAAAGCAATCAGATCCTTGCGAGATTTCCGCTTAATTTACAAGAATCTTTTGAATAAGCTTGAAGACAGGTCACGGGAAGGAGGAGCCGATCTACAAGCTTACAAAATCTTCAGGGACAGGTTCCTTGCACAGTGTAATGACGAGAGATTTGTTGGCAATGTGCCTGGAATCAATGTTGGTGATATCTTTTATGCAAGGGTTGAGCTTTGCATTATCGGTCTTCATCGCCCACACCGGTTAGGGATTGATCATATCAGGAAGGAGGATGGTACTTGTATAGCTGTTAGCATCGTGGCATATGCACTTCTTTCTGATGTCAAGGATAATTTTGATGCCTTGGTGTATTCTGGATCAAGGACAGCTACAATGAATCAGAAGATAGAGGGTACCAATCTTGCACTGAAGAAGAGCATGGATACCAAAACACCAGTTCGTGTCATTCATGGTTTCACCATTCATGCTAAGAACAGCCAGCGGAAGAGTATTCTTGTATATGGGGGTTTATATCTAGTTGAGAAATACTGGAGGGAGAAAGAAAGCGAAGATCGTTATGTTTATATGTTCCGAATGAGAAGAATGGCAGGTCAGAAACACATTGACATTGACGCAATTATGAAATCAGAACAGGCTGAGCCATATGATGGTGTTATAATGAAAGATATATCCCAAGGGTTGGAGAGGATCCCAGTATCTGTTTTGAACTCAATATCTGATGAGCATCCAATGCCCTATATCTACATGTCTCGCCTGAAATACCCCCCTAACTATCAGCCAGCTCCTCCAGCAGGCTGTGCTTGTGTAGGCGGGTGCTCAGACTCCAAACTGTGTGCCTGTGTAGTGAAGAATGGTGGGGAGATCCCTTTCAATGATAAAGGCTGTATCATAGCAGCAAAACCTCTTGTTTATGAGTGTGGACCTTCTTGCAAGTGTCCTCCTACATGTCATAACAGAGTTGGCCAGAAAGGCATCAAATTTCGGCTGCAAGTGTTCAAGACCAAATCGATGGGTTGGGGCGTGAAAACTCTCGACTATATACCATCTGGAAGCTTCGTCTGTGAATACATTGGGGAAGTGCTGGATGATGAAGAAGCACAGAAAAGGATGACTGATGAGTACCTATTTGCTATAGGGCATAATTATTATGATGAATCCCTTTGGGAGGGCCTATCAAGATCTATACCCTCGCTTCAGAATGGTCCGGGTAAAGATGAAGAAGCTGGTTTTGCTGTTGATGCATCAAAGATGGGGAACTTTGCAAAATTTATTAATCATAGCTGCACCCCCAACCTCTATGCACAAAATGTTCTCTATGATCATGATGACAAGAGTGCTCCTCATATCATGTTCTTTGCCTGCGAAGATATTCCACCCGGTCAAGAGCTAGTATACCACTACAACTATGCCATAGATCAGGTTCATGATGAGAATGGTAACATCAAGAAGAAGAAATGCCTTTGTGGCTCTGTGGAGTGTGATGGCTGGTTGTATTAGGTTTAGACTGTGATGCCTTTGTGGCTCTGTTGAAGTTATGTCATTGCCATTAATTCTTCTTCTGACCTTTTCAGTGTCCAATAAGTATGATCATTTATGTTTCTCTTATTTCCTGATCCTACCATTGATAAATTAACAAATCTATCTGCTTAGTAGATCATTTATTAGTTCATTTTGTACTTGTAGTTCTAGCTTTCAACATGACGATAATTCTTGGACATAATGCATCAATTACTTTTCTTTTTGTAGTTTTCATTTTCCGGCAACCTCTCATTTGGTTCAGTGATTAATATTCTGTGTCCTTCAACTCCTAGAACATCTTCTCTTGATAGAAATATCCTAGCACTTTTTTTTGTAAGCGGAGATTACTGGAGCATTATAAAAATGGAATTGCGATATCATGATGTACACTTCAGAAAACTAGAGATGATACCCTGTGTGTTGCTTTGAAAATTTGTTGCAACTGTTTTAATGAGATTTGGTTCTACAAAGCGTTATTACTTAGATTAACAACATGGGAATTGAAACTAAAATACACGTAAGTTATTGTATTTGATTATTGTCATTGTATAGTTGCAGAATATTTTTTCAATATGAGTAGCATGCATGGTGGGCCTTTTTCCATGTATGGTGGCATGATCAGTTGGCATAGTTGCGTGTTGAGAGAATTAGACTTATTGGGCTAAATGTGTTTTTTCTCCATGCATGATGGCATGATGGGTTGGCATAGTTGCATGTTGAGAGAATTAGAGTTAGTGGGGGTCAACTATTTTGGTATGTAGGATGTAGGATTGCTCTTTGCCCTTATATTTACTATTGTTACAAGTTTATTTTCAGTAATTTCGTTTGGTCATCATTTTTTTTGATAAAATAAAGAAAAATACTACATTGGTTTCCATTATGATGTGAAAGAATTCGCATGAATGGATAACAACTATTTGCCTTTAAAGCAGTGAAGAACTAATCATCCTAGAATTTTATGTTCATTGAAATGGAAGTAGTAGGAGCAATCAAATTAGCTGCTGTTATAACCGACAAAGGTGTGAAAACCTTTAATTTTCTGTTGATCTGGATTCCAGATTTATCAGCTTTGGCCTCGTTAATATTGAGAATTGGCCAGAAAACGAGCTTAATCTGAAGTCCAGCCTAGAACTGGTTTCAGAAACGTTTGTATTGACAAATCCTGATTACTCCCAAGGGTAATACCATGTGGCCTGCATACAAGTGTCATGAAGTCAGAAGCTTAAATCTGTGCAAGGGTAAGATTGGTTGGCATTGCTTACTTATACAATTGTGTGTAATAATATCTGTTATTTCTGGTCCCTTTCTCCATAGGTTTTCATAGTTGAAAAATGCAGTTACAGCTGGATTATCAGATCGATATATTTGCATTGCATAGGTGCAAAAGCAGAACCAAGTTGGTGTCCCAAAAGCCAGTTAAAATGTATTCCTTCCTAGTCCTTTCTTTCAGTTTCTATCATATGGACAGTGAAGTCCAGGATATAATGCTTGTGTATAAACAACACTTTTGAATTCCAAAGCTTTCATAGTCTGTTCCAATATGCTCGTAATGAAAAGCAACACCATCTGAAGATCTTTCGGGGCAAAGCTTGTGGGTGAGGAAAATAGGGGTCATGTCATTTATGACTTGTTCTGCTGTGTTGGATACTTCTGCTCCAGGTGTCCTAATTTCGTTAATTTCTTACCCTGCAGATTATCCATGTTTGGCTCTACAGCTGCGAGCCATTGAGCTTGGATCCTGGATGCTCCAGGCCTCACAGAGATACTAGTATGGTTTTGGAAGTGAAGTTCCATCATTGCAAAATGAAGCAACTATGACCCTGTGAAGTAATTGTACTTCCTAAATACTACCTATATGTTTCTAAATGTAAGATGTTTTGGCAGTTCAAATTGAGCTGCAAAAACATCTTACGTTTAGGGACAAAGGGTGTAGTAAAGATGTAGAGCAACGGTCGAAGGCTAGAAGAAGCCTCATCATTCAGCATCTTGAGATCATGGAAGATTTTCGTGCAGCAGCGCAACATGGAGTCGTGTTCAGCATAGGACGCAACTTCTGATAATTTGTGTTTCTGAGTCCGACGTTGTCAAGGTAAAAATCCGGGTGTTGATTGAGAGCTTGGCTCAACAGAGTGCTGAGCTACTACTAGTTGCACAGAATGTATGCAAGTTTGTCTTCTATGGTTGATCCGCAAAGAGCGTAGGATCTCGGATACCATGTGAAACTCTTGGCTTTCGGTAGTTGTTTCCCTTGGCATTTCTTTGTAAAACTTGAACCTGTAACCGGGGCACGACCGATGCTACCTCAAACAGAAGACATTCCGATTTTCTTGCTGGGATTTTGCCATGAAGCTACATGAATGTTGAGTTATGATCTAGCATCACACACCAGCAGCACATGTTTTAGCCATTTCTTACATACTGAAATGGAGCACTCAAACATACAAGGATGGCCACAATATTACTACAAGAGTAAGATCCAGATCGTGCTACGATCATCACTGCTCACACTGAAATTTAACACACGCAGATAGACGGAGTCGAACAAACCACATTATACTCCCAGACCTAGATCAACTGCTCCTACTATACTCTGGCAGTGATCTCACCACGCCGCAGCATACAGACCCAAGTCAATTGCCGCCGCCGCGTCCTCCGCGCGGTGGCCGTTGGCTCCCGCCGCGGAACCCTGCGCGCGCGCCCCAGCCACCGTGGTCGCCTCCAAAGGCCCCACCGCCTGCTCCCCAGCCGCCGCTCCCGCTGCTCCTCGTACAAAAGTTAACATTCACACCTTTTGTACTAGATTTTTTGATTTTTTTTCTCTGATGTCGATGGGAGTTTTTCCATCACGAAACTTTTTATAAGAATACAAAAGAAGATCAAGTTTATTTCCAAAAAAGTTTCAGATTTTTTTGAATTTTTTCATAGCTACTACAAAAGTTCCCATGTCAGATGTACATACACTTTAAATGAATATATTTTTGGATATTTGAATCTCTATTTTTTTGAATATATATATATATATATATATATATATATATATATATATATATATATATATGACCAAAATAATTGAATAACAAATTTTTTTGTGGAATAACTTTCAAGATATTTTTGGTGGAACAAAACAAATTCAACACTATATATAGGTTAGTATTCACACCTTTTGTCCTTGATATTTTTTTGCACTGAAATCAACGGGAGTTTTTTGTTCTTCGTGAAACTATTTATACAAGTACGAAAAAAGGTCAAGTTTATTTTAAAAAAAAGTTCTAAACGAACAATTTTTGATATTTGAGTATTTTTTTTCAAAATATATATGTATATATCCAAATACTTTTGGGATAACAAAATAATTTTGTTGGAATAACTTAAATGATTTTTTTGGTCGAACAAAACAAAACCAACCGCGTCACCCATCTCTTTCTTATTTATTATTACTACATTATTTATTTCCGCCGTGTCTTCGTTGTTTTCACGTACTTGTGCTTAACCAAGCCAAGAATACCATGCGTGAGACTAAGATCGTTTCATATAAAAAAAGCATAATTTAGCCACCGAAACATATTTAAAAAAATTAAGAAAAATTGACAAAGTTCAGTTTATATTACCAACATGGAGACAGGACTCTGACAGTAGCCACCTTAGAACAGGACCAAACGTGTTTCAGAAGAGTGGCATTTATTAGTCTCAGAATGGATTGCTTCAATACACTGTATAAGATCTTGTTCTAGCATGTACTCCTGACTGTACAACACTGTCGCAGCAGTGTATAACGGGCTTTATCTTCTCAGATGTCTGCCCGATTTCCTTATTCACTACTTTAGCTACTGATCGCAAAGCCTCTTCGCACGCTGTGGATACATGTCAGGCCCAGCCTTGATCATCCCCTGTTTCCAGCGTGCCAGAAGTGTTTTGGTCCATTGATCGTCAATCTGACGGCTCACCTGCCTCCGTACCGGTTCGCCAGCTGAGCGATCTCCAAACGTTAATTATCGATCAAACGGTCAAGAGGGGGCCCTGTAGCTTTTCAGACAAGCCATGTGCTCTGCTAGCTTTCTGTTCTTCTTTTCAGTCGTGTAATGGCTATAAAGCCACCCATTCCCCTCTTTCTAAGGCGTGAATAGAATTATTGGGTGTAAACCCTAGCCGCCAGTGGCGTGCTACTACTTTCCCCTTCGTTCTGCAATGAAACCCTAGCTAAATTCGCCTTGATCCTGTCTGAATTTCACTAGTTCGTGCCTAAATTCAGCATAGTGGGACTCTGTTCCTGACAATTGGTATCAGAGGCCAGTCTTTCCTCCGCGGCGGTAGATGATTGGGGCAGCGTAGAGGTTGGCTTCTGCTGTAAAATCCCTCTTCGAGCTCCGATCGGGCGGCGAAGGTAGCAGGCGGCGGCCGGAGTGGCAGCGTTCGGGTGCAGTCGGAGGAACAGTCTGGTTGCGCGGAAGTAATTCTCCGGCGGTAAAATCCCAGCTCCTGTGATCTGACCCTGTACCAGCGGAGGCGGGCGCAGGCGGCGGCGTAGGCGGCGGTGACAAGCAATCCCACCCGCCCAACCCTCTATGGTGGTGATTGCAGACGGTGTAATCATGACGGGCCATGCTGATTCAGGGTCCACTGCAGAATTGCAGTTCGAATCCCTCGAGTTGGACATTAAGACACTGCAGCGGGACCGAGAGGAGGATCACAAGGAGTTCCAACAGTTCCAGGCGATAGTTAACAGGAATTTTGCTACGATGCAGAAGAATTTTGATAAGATCCAAGACAACTTCAGACGCTTGTTATTAGAGTCTGAACCATCTCAAGAGGAGGGTATGGAAGGACAGGGCAGTGTGCAAATGAAGGACAACCAGGTCAATTCTCCACAAGTGGCTCCAGGTTGACCAAAGCAACTGCAAGCACCTACTTCTCCTTCTGTGGCAATGCCTGAAAAAGGAGCACCTTTGCCAATTGGTACAGCTGTTTTGCGTGATCAAGCA